TTAACTAAAGCCCATCCTTTATAGTACATTCTTTATGTTGTATATTCTATGGGTTTGTAACAGGGAATGGCCAGGAAAAAAAAAAATTTTTTTCTGTCTCTTTAAAACTTCCCCCACTCTTTTTGGGAACTCCATTCTGGCCTGCATCCCTGCGGCAGGGTAAGTCTTGTTAAAACTCCCAGGTGGCGCCAGCGCCCCCAGGTGGGCAGCTGGCAGAGTTCACAGGCTTTGTCTTCGGCAGAGACGGGAGGTTAGCACAGTTAACCGCAGTAATTGCCTGAAGGTGAGAAACTCTCCTTTAAAAGCTCTGTATTTCTGCCTATGTTGAGGAAAAATTTGGATTGTGAGACCACAGTCTCCATTTTTCCTCCCTTTGCCGGCAAAGGAATAAAAACATGTCTTTCCTTCCTTCCCAAACCGCTTGTCCTGGTTCCTCTGATTCAGCCTCCTGGACAAGTGGCCGAGTCTTCGGTAACAGGTTCGGCAAATGTAGAACCACACGGATCCACCATTACAGTATCAATGCAGAATGGTTTCACTGCCTAAAAATCCCCGTGCTCCGCCTACTCACCACGCCCCCAGCCCCCCGCCCCACCAGTCTGGGAGTCTGGCGGGGGTCTAGGTCTCCACCTGGCTCCCCTGAATACCCCGGGCTCTGCCCCAGAACGGGGACACGGGATAAGGGCGTCCCCCGGGTCCTTATGGCAGGATAAGGGGTCTACCACCTCCCCACCATGGGGGGCGCCCCAGTGAATGCCCCCCGCCTTTAATGGTCTTGGCGCCCACTGCTCCGCCAAGACCCCCTGGGAGAGAAACGAAGACTCAGAGCCCTCGGGGCGGGCCCAGCGGAGGTGGAGCCGTGCGTGGCGCGGTCTCGGCCTCCGGCTCGTCCCGGGCTGCGGGTTCTGACTCTGCTACGCGGGGTTTGGCGGGTGGGGACAGGGAGGGGCCGGGGCGGGCTGCTCGGAGGGCGCAGTCCGAGGTAGGAGGCGCGCTGCCCTGCCTTCCCCCAGCGCTCCCGGGTTGCGGTGAAGGAGGAGCCGTCACCTGGGGAATCGAAAGACGCGAAAGAGGAAGCAGCTTGTCCGCGAGCCGCCCACAGTGCGACCACACCAGGGCCCTCCTTAGCGGGTATCTGTCCACACCAGGCCGTCAGGAAGAAAAGTCTGCCCTCGTCCGGTTGTGACGGGCATCTGACCTCCCCGCTTCATCAGAGTTTGCGGAACTTTGGGGGGTGCGAGTGGGAGATTCCTTCGGACAGACCTTCTGGTCTGTGGCTCGAGGGCTTTTGGAAAAGCCTAGAGAAGGAAACTGGCTTTTTCCTGGGTCCTGGTCCCCGTGTCCTGGTGCAGAGCCACTCACCCGCTGTCCCCCCATCCCACTCTGCACCAGCTCATTTGTCCTGCCTAGGGTGGCAACTTGTGGAAGCTCTGACCTCAAGAAACCCTGGTATTTTAATTGGAAGATAGGGATCCATTTGAGACTGGCCTGAGTCCTCTTGTTTTTGTGAAACACAAAATACCCCAACTTTCTTGAGGAGACTTGTCTTTAAACTAGGTGTGCCACTGTTTTCGTAAGATACTGCTCTTAGCTCTTATTATTCATGGTGCTATATAATCATGATCATTTAAAATTTG